ATGGTTACCTCTTGGTGGGGTGACAACAGGGAGGAGAGTGGTGGGTTGAGGGTGAGATCTTATTGAGTATGTTCTTGGGTGGTGTTGCCTTTTGATCCAGGTAGTTCGTGTGTGTGTGTGTTTTAATTTTTTAAAAATTAAGATTTTTTTATGGATGGTAACTTTTATGGGACACTTTGTATCAGGCTGTAAACTAAGTGCTTTATATCAGGTAGATGCTTCTTTAAAAGTGAAATTAAAAGGGGCTGGAAATAACCCTTAGAATTGAATGTAAAGAGAAGCAAATGAATATCAAATTGATGGTAGTCACACAGAAAAGAATTCAAGTACCAGAACACTCTCTGACCACACATTCTTAGCAGCATATTTTTTAAGGGCAAAAAAGAACTGCAAAGAAATCCTCAAACCTGATGTCGTGGGCTTATTGTTAGTAGTAATGAAGACACCATAATTTTGAGACCTTTTCATGTAGGTAGTGGAGAAAGTTAGGTAAGTAAATAAATACACTGTTACTTGAAACAAGATTTGCACTGGTAGTAAAAAAAGATAAATAGAAAATGAAAGAAGATAAATGCCCTGTAATGGTCAGGAGGTTAAAGCTAAAAGGCTCCCTCTGGCTGCCGTTTGGAGACTTAACTTGGAGTTGACATTTCAACAACCCAGGGCGGGTATGTGGCAGTGGTGTTAGGGGCAAATGACCCAACCCGCATTTGAAAATCTATAAATTTTGACTCCCCCAAATAATAGCTTACTGTTGAACAGAAGCCCTACCTAAACAAATAGTTAACACATATTTTGTTACATTTATTATATACTGTATTCATACAACCAGGTAAGCTAGAGGAAAGAAAATATTACTGAGAAAATCACAAGGAAGAGAAAGTACATTAAAATACTGCATAGTATTCACTGAAAAAATGCCACGTATAAGTGGACCTGTTGTTGTTCAAGGGTCAACTCTATAGAAAGCATGAGGGTGACAGCAGGAGATCAGTTCAGCTGCTGCTGTCCTAGCAGGATGTACTGGTGGCCTCTGAAGTGGTCTGGCAAGGAGGGTTCCCTGGCCTTTTGTCTCCAGGCCCCCTGTTCCGGCGTTGGGGTAGCTGAAGCCTCTGTGCTGCCCGTGTCACCTGCAGAAAGCCAGCTAAAGATGTGGATGAGCAAGTACGGCTGGAGTGCAGATGAGTCAGGCCAGATCTTCATCTGTAGCCAGGAAGAGAGCATTAAGCCCAAGAACATTGTGGAGAAGATCGACTTTGACAGTGAGTGAGGGCTCAAGGCCCCCAGCTGGGGCCAAGGAGGTGCCCTGAAACAGACCAGGCTGGGGCCCCAAAGGACCTAGGTAGATAAGGTTTGGGTCAGGACCAGGAAATCTGCATCTGTCAGACTCCACTGACTTCTGTCTTGGGGCTGCCAGCCCAGGGAGGAATGGCAGGGGTTGCTGGGTTTCTGTCACTGGGACTCCCCAGAACCTGGAGGGGCCTTGCAGGGTGTCTCCACACCCTTAGTGGTCCCAGGGGCCCTCTGTCCTTGGGGCTTGTGGGGCTTCATCTGCTAAAACACAGCAGAATGCCAGAAAGTACAGGCTCGGGAGTTGGGTTAGCTGGATGGGGATCTTGGGTCTATGCTTCTTAGCTGGGTAATGGGCAAGTGATTTTACTTCTGTGTGCCTCGGTTTTCCCATCTAAAAAGTGGGGACCACAGCACTAATAATTATTATATTGTGTAGTCTTTACACTTATTAAATTGTTTGGTTCTCATATCAACACTGTAAGATAGGTGCCATTACCGTAAGTTAACTGGATAATAGAATACCCATGTCATGGAGGTATGAGTGTGAAGTCAGACATCCCTGTATAATACTTAGCAAAGAGCCAGTCACACAGTTCATTGAATGTTAACCATTGTTGTCACCACCATCCACACACTGAACTAACACAGACTCCACTGATTGCTCAGCCAAGGAGAGTGAACTAGTTAGCACACGCTCTCACCTGCTCAGTGTGCAGGGTGTTGGAGTGAGATCTGCAGGATAGGGATGGGCTGCTCCTCTGGGCCCTGGGGTCTCCTATTCACTCTCTCGACTGATTCTGGTGTTTCCAAGATCGATATTTGTAGAGTGACTACTCAGTGCAAACCAGCTAATTTGGTACTTAACTGAGGAAGGAGATTGAGTGGGCAGTCATCTCTGCACATAGGGACTCCTCTAAATGAGATGTACCCAGTGTGGGGGATTCTCTGAGGACCCCCTCCCGCAGAGGGTCCTGCAGCGAGGAGGTGGAAGTCCAGTGCTAGAGTATCTTGCAAATAGTAATTGTGAATGTTTTAGAATAGTGATGTTAATAATAACCATCACTTACTTTGTACCAGACTGTGTTCTAAGCACAACATTTAATCCTAAGATCTTAGGGTAGATGCTTCATACAGGTGGGAAAACTGATACAAGTAACTTCTAGGCCACCCACCCGGTACAAAGCAGAAAAAATGAATTGTGGGTGCTGGGGTTGGTGGCTGGAGGTTTGTCTCCCATTCTCCCCAAATTGACCCTGGTCCGCACCCCCTTTCTTTTCTCAACAGGTGTGTCCAGCATCATGGCCTCCTCCCAGTAACGGCAGGGGTTTAATAAAGATTTGTTAATTTATTCCTTCCGTCTCCTCATTGGCTTCCTGCCTCTGCCCCTTGCCCACCAGAGGGAGCCCCGGAGCCTCACTTATGCCTGGGTCCCCCATTGGCTAGGCTTCCGCCCCTACCTCCTCCAGCTTCCTTCCTTGCCTGGGCTCAGCCACAGACCTTCCACTCCCACCTTCCTGATCTGTCAGGTCACGTGGGGGGAAGGCAGCAGTGAGTCAGCAAGGAGCAGAGTGTAAATAGGACCTAGGAGCCCAGTCCTGAAGCTGGGTGTACCTGGGCTATGTGAACAGGGGTGGGCCCTGGGTTCCTGGTGAGGGAGGCACCACCTTTGCCCTTTGGTCTCCTCACCTGCAGGCACTAGCTGGGGTAGGGGCAGGGTAAGGATTCTGGCTGCTGCTCATCCTGCTGTGTCTGTGCTAATGACGGCTTCTCTGTCGGAGTTTCCTCATCTGCAAAAGGGGAAAATGATGCCCCCTTTTCAGAGTTTTGAGGATTCCAATGAGCTCTTGCCAGTAAATGTCTCATATCAAAACCAACCCAGATCTTGGCATTTAGAAGACGGGAATCATTGTTCATTTCAGACTCAAAGGAGTTTGTCCTTAAGGTTGTAAACTAGTCCCTAGCGCACTTCTGTTGGAAAGACCATGAGAAAAGTAGGGTTTCAGCCAGGCCATTCTCCCCCATCCCCAGGTCCCAGCCCACACTGGCCAGGAGGCATAGCTCGTGTCACTTGATCCTTAGCTGGGTTGGTTGGTCCCATTTTACACACATTCTGGCAGAGTGAGTGTCTGACAAGTGTCTCCCTCTGAGCTTGTCTGTAGGAAGAGGGGGGTGAGGATAACAGTGGTTGCCTTTTAGGAAAATGGAGGAAATGAAGTGCCGTAATAGATATATAGCCCTTGGTATAGGCTGGCAGCTGCCCCTGAGTGTTCTCGTGTGCCAGTGTGCCTGAACTTAGTTGAGAGGGCAGCGGCAATGCCTGAACCGCCAGCCTTCTCAACCCCGATCTGTCCTCACGCCCATGGGTCCTCTGAGGGGACTGATTTGGGGAGCCGTGGCAGGGTGGGACACCTTTGCCCTGGATCCTGGACAGCAGGAGCCAGGAACTAGGGCGTGCCCAATCCCTGGGGACAAAGGGTGTTTCTGCATCTCAGGACTTGGGAGCCAGCTGTAAGGGGTAGAAGGAGGGAAGGCTGGGATGCCGCTATTTGTGTGAATTACCAATAGGTACCTGCTCTGGGTGGGCACAATTTGCACTCATCCACTTGGCAGATGCCTTTGTGTAGGATACATCCTGCACAACTGGTGGTGGCTGCTCTGTAGGGAAGAGGAAATGACCTGTAGTCTCCTGGAAGTCATGTCATGTCCTGCTTAGCCAACCTGCTTTTGCTCCAGGATCTACCTTGAGCAGCTAAGAAGCCTGGCTCTGGAGAAAAACTGCCTGAGTTCAAGCCCCAACTTAGTGACTTTGGGCATGTTAGTTAACCTTTCTGTGACTCAGTCTTAACACCCACTAGTGAGTTAATAACACGGGGAGAGTTCCAGCAGTTTGGTATATAGTAAGGGGCCATACATTACTCACCTGCCATGCTCACTTAGGCTTCGGCTGCTGTTTCAGGGGCAGGCAGCCTTTGCCTGTTCCGAGTCTCCCCACTGCTCACCTGAACCCACTCTATTCAGTCCCTTGAGGCTTTTGTGACCAGCCCTCTGTCTCCAACCCCCAACATACACTGTCCATGGAAGTGCTCTTGTCAGCACCCACAGTGGCATCCCTGTTGCCAGGTGCAGTGGGCGGGTCTCAGGCCCCATCTGATGTGCCCTTTCAGCCACCTTGGGTGGGGTGGTGCTGCACTGCTCCCTCAAGCTTTACATCACGTGGCTTCCGGGACAGCTACTCTCCTGGCTTTCCTCCCACCTCACTGGCTGCTCCTTCCCATTGTCCTTGCAGGTTCCTCACTTCCCTCACGAATGTTGGAGGGGGCCTTTGCTGGGAAGGTGACATTTGAGCAAAAGGGTGGAGGTGAAGGGGCTAGCCATGGGGGAGGAGAGCTCCAGACCCAAGAACAACCAGTACAAAGGCCTCGAGGTGGGCGGGTGCCTGGCATGCCTGAGCATCAGTGAGGAGGCCCCCGTGTCTGGAGTGAAGGGTGAAGTGGGAGATAATGCTGGGCCTCGTGGGCCATGATGTAAAAGTTGGCCTTTTCTCTGAGACAGGAGCAAGGGGAGGTAGTTGAGTGCAGTTAGCTCATCTGTATCTGTCCCCTTTCTTAGGATTGTTGTTTCTGTCTGCCAGGTTCCAACCCCAGTTCTGTGATTCTTGGCAAATCACTTAGATGCTCTGAGCCTTACTCTTTTCACCTCTAGAATGGACATAAAAACAGTAACTTACATCATAGGGTGGTACACAGAAGAATGGCTGGCATGTGGCATGAACGCTTGGCTGTTAGTTTCTATTAATGTTATTTATTTTCTTGATGTTATTAATATTAGTATTCTTAATATTGTGGGATTAATACTGTGAACACTACCCTCCCCTCTTAGCAAGCCTTGGATGAAAACATGGACCTCTTGGAAGGTATAACTGGTTTTGAAGACTCTGTCCGGAAATGTGAGTCCTTCTCTGAGCCAAGGCTTCCCAGGGGGAAGGTGTGGAGGGTTACAGCAGGGTCCTGGGGAGTGGTCTTTCACCACCGTTGTTCTGACCTCCGCAGTTATCTGCCATGTCGTGGGCATCACTTACCAGCACATCGATCGCTGGCTGTTGGCCGAGATGCTCGGGGATCTGACTGGTAAGGCCCTCTGTGGGTCCCTAGTGCTAATCTGGGACTTTGGGGGCTGGGCCTCAGCCGCTTCTCAGATGGACCAATTCCTGTCTTACCAGGTTGTTACTTAAGGCCCAGCCCAGGAAGGGTATAAGGAATTGGTGTAGAGAAATCTTTTCTTGGGGGAGACCCTGTGGCATTCCTTTATTTATCCTGCATGAACTGTTTGAATGCCCACTCTGTGCCAGACACAGCAGTAAACAAAACAGAATGGCTTAAGTCTGTTCTCCTGGAGGTAGCAAAACAGGTAACGAATTATGATGTACATGTCCAGTGGCAGAGTATGTAGGACAGCTCGTAGAGAGGGATTGGGGGTGCCGGGGGGCATGTGGAGGTGAGGTGGCAGTGTTTGAACAGTTACTCAGTGGAGTGAGGTGAGCAGCCAGAGGGCAGAGCAAACCTGAGGCTCCTAAGGCAGGGGTGTGCCTGTCATGTTCACCGAGCTCCCAGGGTGCCTGTGGCTGGAGCAGAGTGAGGGCTGTGAGGTGGTGAGGGAGGGACATCTCAGATACCCTGGGCTCCCTCGACTTTGACCTTTACCCTGAGTGAGATGGAGCCATGGAAGGGTTCTGAGCAGGGAGGGACATGGATCAGATTTATGTTTCTAAAAGATGCCTTCAAAAAGAAAAAAAAATGTTTGTGTATTTGCTCATTTTTTCAAAAAATGGAACAGGAAGGAAAATAAAAAGCTGAGGAAAATGGTTACCTCTTGGTGGGGTGACAACAGGGAGGAGAGTGGTGGGTTGAGGGTGAGATCTTATTGAGTATGTTCTTGGGTGGTGTTGCCTTTTGATCCAGGTAGTTCGTGTGTGTGTGTGTTTTAATTTTTTAAAAATTAAGATTTTTTTATGGATGGTAACTTTTATGGGACACTTTGTATCAGGCTGTAAACTAAGTGCTTTATATCAGGTAGATGCTTCTTTAAAAGTGAAATTAAAAGGGGCTGGAAATAACCCTTAGAATTGAATGTAAAGAGAAGCAAATGAATATCAAATTGATGGTAGTCACACAGAAAAGAATTCAAGTACCAGAACACTCTCTGACCACACATTCTTAGCAGCATATTTTTTAAGGGCAAAAAAGAACTGCAAAGAAATCCTCAAACCTGATGTCGTGGGCTTATTGTTAGTAGTAATGAAGACACCATAATTTTGAGACCTTTTCATGTAGGTAGTGGAGAAAGTTAGGTAAGTAAATAAATACACTGTTACTTGAAACAAGATTTGCACTGGTAGTAAAAAAAGATAAATAGAAAATGAAAGAAGATAAATGCCCTGTAATGGTCAGGAGGTTAAAGCTAAAAGGCTCCCTCTGGCTGCCGTTTGGAGACTTAACTTGGAGTTGACATTTCAACAACCCAGGGCGGGTATGTGGCAGTGGTGTTAGGGGCAAATGACCCAACCCGCATTTGAAAATCTATAAATTTTGACTCCCCCAAATAATAGCTTACTGTTGAACAGAAGCCCTACCTAAACAAATAGTTAACACATATTTTGTTACATTTATTATATACTGTATTCATACAACCAGGTAAGCTAGAGGAAAGAAAATATTACTGAGAAAATCACAAGGAAGAGAAAGTACATTAAAATACTGCATAGTATTCACTGAAAAAATGCCACGTATAAGTGGACCTGTTGTTGTTCAAGGGTCAACTCTATAGAAAGCATGAGGGTGACAGCAGGAGATCAGTTCAGCTGCTGCTGTCCTAGCAGGATGTACTGGTGGCCTCTGAAGTGGTCTGGCAAGGAGGGTTCCCTGGCCTTTTGTCTCCAGGCCCCCTGTTCCGGCGTTGGGGTAGCTGAAGCCTCTGTGCTGCCCGTGTCACCTGCAGAAAGCCAGCTAAAGATGTGGATGAGCAAGTACGGCTGGAGTGCAGATGAGTCAGGCCAGATCTTCATCTGTAGCCAGGAAGAGAGCATTAAGCCCAAGAACATTGTGGAGAAGATCGACTTTGACAGTGAGTGAGGGCTCAAGGCCCCCAGCTGGGGCCAAGGAGGTGCCCTGAAACAGACCAGGCTGGGGCCCCAAAGGACCTAGGTAGATAAGGTTTGGGTCAGGACCAGGAAATCTGCATCTGTCAGACTCCACTGACTTCTGTCTTGGGGCTGCCAGCCCAGGGAGGAATGGCAGGGGTTGCTGGGTTTCTGTCACTGGGACTCCCCAGAACCTGGAGGGGCCTTGCAGGGTGTCTCCACACCCTTAGTGGTCCCAGGGGCCCTCTGTCCTTGGGGCTTGTGGGGCTTCATCTGCTAAAACACAGCAGAATGCCAGAAAGTACAGGCTCGGGAGTTGGGTTAGCTGGATGGGGATCTTGGGTCTATGCTTCTTAGCTGGGTAATGGGCAAGTGATTTTACTTCTGTGTGCCTCGGTTTTCCCATCTAAAAAGTGGGGACCACAGCACTAATAATTATTATATTGTGTAGTCTTTACACTTATTAAATTGTTTGGTTCTCATATCAACACTGTAAGATAGGTGCCATTACCGTAAGTTAACTGGATAATAGAATACCCATGTCATGGAGGTATGAGTGTGAAGTCAGACATCCCTGTATAATACTTAGCAAAGAGCCAGTCACACAGTTCATTGAATGTTAACCATTGTTGTCACCACCATCCACACACTGAACTAACACAGACTCCACTGATTGCTCAGCCAAGGAGAGTGAACTAGTTAGCACACGCTCTCACCTGCTCAGTGTGCAGGGTGTTGGAGTGAGATCTGCAGGATAGGGATGGGCTGCTCCTCTGGGCCCTGGGGTCTCCTATTCACTCTCTCGACTGATTCTGGTGTTTCCAAGATCGATATTTGTAGAGTGACTACTCAGTGCAAACCAGCTAATTTGGTACTTAACTGAGGAAGGAGATTGAGTGGGCAGTCATCTCTGCACATAGGGACTCCTCTAAATGAGATGTACCCAGTGTGGGGGATTCTCTGAGGACCCCCTCCCGCAGAGGGTCCTGCAGCGAGGAGGTGGAAGTCCAGTGCTAGAGTATCTTGCAAATAGTAATTGTGAATGTTTTAGAATAGTGATGTTAATAATAACCATCACTTACTTTGTACCAGACTGTGTTCTAAGCACAACATTTAATCCTAAGATCTTAGGGTAGATGCTTCATACAGGTGGGAAAACTGATACAAGTAACTTCTAGGCCACCCACCCGGTACAAAGCAGAAAAAATGAATTGTGGGTGCTGGGGTTGGTGGCTGGAGGTTTGTCTCCCATTCTCCCCAAATTGACCCTGGTCCGCACCCCCTTTCTTTTCTCAACAGGTGTGTCCAGCATCATGGCCTCCTCCCAGTAACGGCAGGGGTTTAATAAAGATTTGTTAATTTATTCCTTCCGTCTCCTCATTGGCTTCCTGCCTCTGCCCCTTGCCCACCAGAGGGAGCCCCGGAGCCTCACTTATGCCTGGGTCCCCCATTGGCTAGGCTTCCGCCCCTACCTCCTCCAGCTTCCTTCCTTGCCTGGGCTCAGCCACAGACCTTCCACTCCCACCTTCCTGATCTGTCAGGTCACGTGGGGGGAAGGCAGCAGTGAGTCAGCAAGGAGCAGAGTGTAAATAGGACCTAGGAGCCCAGTCCTGAAGCTGGGTGTACCTGGGCTATGTGAACAGGGGTGGGCCCTGGGTTCCTGGTGAGGGAGGCACCACCTTTGCCCTTTGGTCTCCTCACCTGCAGGCACTAGCTGGGGTAGGGGCAGGGTAAGGATTCTGGCTGCTGCTCATCCTGCTGTGTCTGTGCTAATGACGGCTTCTCTGTCGGAGTTTCCTCATCTGCAAAAGGGGAAAATGATGCCCCCTTTTCAGAGTTTTGAGGATTCCAATGAGCTCTTGCCAGTAAATGTCTCATATCAAAACCAACCCAGATCTTGGCATTTAGAAGACGGGAATCATTGTTCATTTCAGACTCAAAGGAGTTTGTCCTTAAGGTTGTAAACTAGTCCCTAGCGCACTTCTGTTGGAAAGACCATGAGAAAAGTAGGGTTTCAGCCAGGCCATTCTCCCCCATCCCCAGGTCCCAGCCCACACTGGCCAGGAGGCATAGCTCGTGTCACTTGATCCTTAGCTGGGTTGGTTGGTCCCATTTTACACACATTCTGGCAGAGTGAGTGTCTGACAAGTGTCTCCCTCTGAGCTTGTCTGTAGGAAGAGGGGGGTGAGGATAACAGTGGTTGCCTTTTAGGAAAATGGAGGAAATGAAGTGCCGTAATAGATATATAGCCCTTGGTATAGGCTGGCAGCTGCCCCTGAGTGTTCTCGTGTGCCAGTGTGCCTGAACTTAGTTGAGAGGGCAGCGGCAATGCCTGAACCGCCAGCCTTCTCAACCCCGATCTGTCCTCACGCCCATGGGTCCTCTGAGGGGACTGATTTGGGGAGCCGTGGCAGGGTGGGACACCTTTGCCCTGGATCCTGGACAGCAGGAGCCAGGAACTAGGGCGTGCCCAATCCCTGGGGACAAAGGGTGTTTCTGCATCTCAGGACTTGGGAGCCAGCTGTAAGGGGTAGAAGGAGGGAAGGCTGGGATGCCGCTATTTGTGTGAATTACCAATAGGTACCTGCTCTGGGTGGGCACAATTTGCACTCATCCACTTGGCAGATGCCTTTGTGTAGGATACATCCTGCACAACTGGTGGTGGCTGCTCTGTAGGGAAGAGGAAATGACCTGTAGTCTCCTGGAAGTCATGTCATGTCCTGCTTAGCCAACCTGCTTTTGCTCCAGGATCTACCTTGAGCAGCTAAGAAGCCTGGCTCTGGAGAAAAACTGCCTGAGTTCAAGCCCCAACTTAGTGACTTTGGGCATGTTAGTTAACCTTTCTGTGACTCAGTCTTAACACCCACTAGTGAGTTAATAACACGGGGAGAGTTCCAGCAGTTTGGTATATAGTAAGGGGCCATACATTACTCACCTGCCATGCTCACTTAGGCTTTGGCTGCTGTTTCAGGGGCTTCCTTAGTCACCTGTAGACTCCCAGTGTCTGTTCATATTCCCACCCTGGGAGAACACAGCCCTGTCCTGTTTGTTTCACCTAAGTAGCATAAGCAATGGGATACAACCTTTAGAAAATTTAGATGGAAGCCTCAAGGGTTCTAAGAAGTGCTGGTGTGGAAATGGTGAACCTAATGGGGCTTCACCAAATGGGTGACCCCATTGGCCATACCCCTTTCTCTCAGGGGTCTATTCCTGCCCCTCTGAGCCCCTGCCCTACTGCCCTTGACCCTCAATAGGTAACAACTATGATTTCTACACTGGCCATGGATAGCAGCCAGGAGGAAGCCTCAAAGCTGGCAATTAAAGAGAACCTTTAAACCTCATTGGGGCCCTCTGCTTCATCTCTGAACCCTTGGTGGGGGAGTTTTCTCAGTGTCCACTGGAGCAGGCAGGTTGGGGCAACTCCCACTGCCCAAGTGGCCTCTCCTTGCCAACCAGGCCCAGCGCAAGAGTCGTGGCCTTGCTCTCCAAGTTAGGCGGGAAGAGGCTGCCTGCCCCAGCCCAGCCCAGCCCAGTTATGGAAACCAACACTTCTGGATCTTTGGCCAGGTCCCAGCATCCCCCTGGAAAATGGGCTGCTGCTCATGCCTCCTCCTCTTTGCTTGCTGTTGGATCCCTTCTCGTGCCTTTGAGAGGGTGGAGGGTTCCTTGCAGCTCTCATACCTGGATAGCTTTGTTACCACACAGTGCAGTAGCGGGCTCTCACCGTCCCTTCTTGTCATTACTGTTGGCCAGTTCCTGCTTTAGTCTAACTCAAACTCTGACCTCCTTACTTTTTCTGACAACTATTCCCCTCAAGTCTTTCTCTGAATCCAGTGAAGTTCTTCACATTCCCTTGTTGCTCAGGTCCAAAACTTAGTCTTGATTTTTCCTTCTTGCTCACCCCTGTCCCCCATTCCCAGTCAAATTCACAACAGTAAGTTCTGTCAACTCCACCTTCTGAAATCCTCCCACTGCCCCTTCTCCACTGTTCTCTAATCCTGCAGCACCCTGTCCTGTCCACCCTCACCTGGACCATTGTAATAGCCTTCTCACTGGTCTTTCTGAGCTCACTCCACCTTCTAGTCTGTTCCCCTGATGTGGCCACAGGGACCCTGCAAACAGCTGAATTAGATCCAGCCTTACCCTGCTTAAGATCTCCCTTAACTTCCCACTGTATTTAGAATAAAATTCAAACTCCTCACCAAGGTTTTAAGTTCATTTATTCATTCACCTAGACTTTACTAATCTATCTTGCACCAGACACTTATTCAGAGATCAGATACACAGCAGCGACCTGACATTCTTGGGAAGGAGACAGATACAATAAACCAATTACGTAGTATGTTAAATGGTGATCAGTACACTAGGAAAAAAGCAGGGAAGGTGTGGGATACTATTTTAACCAAGGTAGTCAGGGAAGGTCTTATGGAGGAGGTAATATTTCCGCAGTGCAGGAGAGTAGGCTGTAAGCCTTGGGGATACATCATCTGGGGCAAATGTTCCAGACAGTAGTAACAAGGTATCACCAAGTACAAAGGCCCTGAGGCTGGGGCATGCCTGATGTGTTCTAGAAACAGCAAGGAGGCCAGCAGCATGGCAGGAGCTGAGAAAGTCAGGAGGAGAGTGAGAGATGAGCTGAGAGAGGAAATGAGGACCAGAATGTGGAAGATCTTGTAGGTCTGGCTGAAACCTCAGGAGTCTTGGTTATTTCAAAAGCTGGGCCAGGCTGGGCCAGAGCAGGGAAAACTTCTGTACCCTTTCCTCCTCTCTTTGAGTTTGACTTGTACTCAGTGTGGTGATCATGTTAAAGGGTTCCCAGCAGAGGGAGGAACTTGATGTGACTCAGGTGTTCACAGGCTCCTTCTGGCTGCTTGTAGGCAAGAGTTGGGTAGGGGGACTGGAGTGGGAGCTGGGAGGTGGTGAGGAGGCTCCTACAGTAGTCCAAACAAAGAACAGGCAGGTGGACAGGATGGGTTGGGCCATGGGGACAGGGAAATGGGTGGATTCTGTATATAGTCTGAAGATGGAACTGACAGAATTTTTTGAAGAACTAGGTGTGAGGTGTGAAGACAAAGAGGAATCTGCAGGTTTCCTTCTAGCTTGTGCAGCTGGAGGGATGGAGGTGCCATTAACTGAGATGCAGATGACTGGGTTTGAGAGGAAAATCAGGAGCTTAGCTTTGGGTGTTTAAATTTGAGATGCCTATTAATGTGGCAATGCCATGTGTCTGTATTTATTTGCTTATTTTTGTTGCCTCCCAGCCCCCAGCTTTACATTAGCCCCTTGAGAAGTGATCATGCTTATTATGCTTGGCACTACATTGCCAGTGCTCTATACAATGCCCGGCACCCTGTAGGTTCTGAATGAATGAATGAAGATAGACAAGTCCAAAAAATCCTTTACCTTCCCAGTCAGCCCTCTCTGTTCCAATCTACCTCTCATGTCCATTTCATGAATCCTTCATGTCCTGTGTTCATATGGCCTCCTTTTCCGTAAAGCTTGTCCTGACTACTTTGTTTACATTCCAGCTCAAGCTTAATTTTTCTCCATAACATTTTCACCTTGGAATATACTGTATACTTACTCAGATTTTGTTTTTTTGTTTCCCTTCACTAGAAGGTAGTTCCATAAGGGCAGGGATTTTTGTCTATCTTGTTTAGTGCCAATGCGTTAAACATGGTGGGGCAGGCGTTTAATAAATATCGTTTAAATTTATGTTGCTGAATGGGAATACATTCCACGGCTGGGCAGGTTAGGGCCTGACGGCGAGGCCCGCCTTATGAATCATTCATGTTGATCCCGCCCACACGCGGAGGCCGCGCGCGCTCACGCGAGAGAGGAGGTGCGGCTCGTACACGAGCTGACGGGGCGGTCGAGAAGTGGGCTCTGCGCAGGCGCCGCGCTCCCCGAGAGGGACGTCTCAGGACCTTTCTGGTTAGGAGGCGCGCGCGCGCGCGGGAGGGCGGCGGCGGCGGCGCGGTGCGCAGGCGCGGCGGGCTGTGCGCAGGCGCTGGGGGAGGGCGGGCTGAAGCAGCTGAGGCGGCGGCAGCGGCGGCGGCGACGGCTCGGGCAGAGGGGCGGGAGCTGAGGCGGGAGAGGACCGGCTGGTGGGTGAGCAAGAGGCAGCGGAATGGTGGACTACCACGCGGCGAACCAGTCATACCAGTACGGCCCCAGCAGCGGGGGCAATGGCGCCGGCGGCGGGGGTACCATGGGCGACTACATGGCCCAGGAGGACGACTGGGACCGGGACCTGCTGCTGGACCCGGCCTGGGAGAAGCAACAGCGCAAGGTGCGCGGCCCACGGGCTGGACAGGCTGGAGGGGTGCTGGGGGCCGGGAAGCGGGTTGGAGGTCCTGAGAGA